TTGCTTAGTAGTTTTAATAGCTTATGGGTATAAAGGCTGACTCCAGCGTTATTACAATTTAAATAAAGCAATTTCCGTTAATTTCCCAGTATTTAAAAAATTCAGACTCAAATGTCCAACCTCAGACTCAAGTGGCACTTATAATAATATCTTCATTCAATTTCTTATTCAATTTTCAATCGAATGACACCTCAAGCATTTTTGTACGACTAATACTTCAAAAGTTATAAACTTTTGAATTTAAGTCATAAAAAACATGCGGGCCTTCGTCCCGCATGTTTTCTGTAATGCGTTCGAAATTAAAAAAAAATTTTAATTTCTGACGGTGCCTCCGGCAACGCGTTATCTGCAACGCGTTCCGAATTTTTAAAAAAATATTTTTATTTCCGGCGGTTGCCTCCGGCAACGCGTTATCTGCAACGCGTTCCGAATTTTTAAAAAATATTTTTAATTCTGGCGGTTGCCTCCGGCAACGCGTTATCTTCAACGCGTTCCGAATTTTTAAAAAAATATTTTTATTTCCGGCGGTTGCCTCCGGCAACGCGTTATCTGCAACGCGTTCCGAATTTTTAAAAAATATTTTTAATTCTGGCGGTTGCCTCCGGCAACGCGTTATCTGCAACGCGTTCCGAATTTTTAAAAAATATTTTTAATTCTGGCGGTTGCCTCCGGCAACGCGTTATCTGCAACGCGTTCCGAATTTTTAAAAAATATTTTTAATTCTGGCGGTTGCCTCCGGCAACGCGTTATCTTCAACGCGTTCCGAATTTTTAAAAAATATTTTTAATTCTGGCGGTTGCCTCCGGCAACGCGTTATCTTCAACGCGTTCCGAATTTTTAAAAAATATTTTTAATTCTGGCGGTTGCCTCCGGCAACGCGTTATCTGCAACGCGTTCCGAATTTTTAAAAAATATTTTTAATTCTGGCGGTTGCCTCCGGCAACGCGTTATCTTCAACGCGTTCCGAATTTTTAAAAAATATTTTTAATTCTGGCGGTTGCCTCCGGCAACGCGTTATCTTCAACGCGTTCCGAATTTTTAAAAAATATTTTTAATTCTGGCGGTTGCCTCCGGCAACGCGTTATCTGCAACGCGTTCCGAATTTTTAAAAAATATTTTTAATTCTGGCGGTTGCCTCCGGCAACGCGTTATCTGCAACGCGTTCCGAATTTTTAAAAAATATTTTTAATTCTGGCGGTTGCCTCCGGCAACGCGTTATCTTCAACGCATTCCGAATTTTTAAAAAATATTTTTAATTCCGGCGGTTGCCTCCGGCAACGCGTTATCTGCAACGCGTTCCGAATTTTAAAAAAATATTTTTAATTCTGGCGGTTGCCTCCGGCAACGCGTTATCTGCAACGCGTTCCGAATTTTTAAAAAATATTTTTAATTCTGGCGGTTGCCTCCGGCAACGCGTTATCTGCAACGCGTTCCGAATTTTTAAAAAATATTTTTAATTCCGGCGGTTGCCTCCGGCAACGCGTTATCTTCAACGCATTCCGAATTTTTAAAAAATATTTTTAATTCTGGCGGTTGCCTCCGGCAACGCGTTATCTGCAACGCGTTCCGAATTTTTAAAAAATATTTTTAATTCTGGCGGTTGCCTCCGGCAACGCGTTCTCAGTAACGCGTTATAACATTTTAATTTTATTTCAAAAATTTGTAAAATTAATTAATTTTATTAAAATTTTCAGCCCAGACTGAAAGTTATAAATGAGACTCTAGTGTCCTTTATATTAAAAACTTATTTTCTAATATTCCCATTAATTTTTATAATTTTTAAAATTCATTTCCACTGATTTTAATCTTCAGACTCAAATATCCCATCCTCAGACTCAAATGACCCCTTCAAAAATATTTTTAAAAAATTCGTCTGATTTTTCCACGTCGAATGAGACCTTAATCATATTTTTCTGACAATTACTTCAAAAGTTACAAAATACGTCTCACCGTTGCTTAACTTTCCAGATCGGACGGTCTAGATCGTCAAATTTAAAAATTTTTTCCAAAAATTTTAATTTCTTAAAAAATTCATAACTCGGTCCAAAAAACTCATTTGAACATAAAACAAAGCTTATTCGATGCAGAATTTAATTCTCTATCTTTCATCTCCCGACACTTTTCTTCTAACTTCAAAACAAAATATAGTTAAGGTCACTTTTATGAAATATACTCAAAAATGCACTTTTTACTCCATATCTTTTTTCTGTTAATCCATTCAACTTGAAACCAACTTTTTTCTTAAGAAACCCACCATGCTCTACAACTTTTCTCCCAACCACTTTTTGCTCAGACCCTTCTAAACACCTTAAATCCAAAGTTACCACTTTGACAAAAAAGTTGTCAACAGGCACATCTACCCTCCCCGATGTCAGAACGACTTCAACTCTTTTTCTATCATATTCTCCATGTTGTGGTGCTTCAACCTTGTAACTGACCCAACTTTCCCCGACTTCATCTTCATATTCAAATTTCACTTCAAAGTTTCGAAAATTCATGTTTTTTCAAAATATCTAAAAAACTCGCCCCTTTCCCCCAACTTTTGGAGGTTTTCCTGAAAACTACATTAAATTTCCCATCTATAGCAAAAAACCCCACCCCTCTACGTTTTCTCAAACTTCCGGAGGACTTTTTTTTAGCTGAGTGCCCTTTTACTGTTATATATAGATAACCAGCGTTCGGCGCGAATTGCTGAGTAGTTTTAATAGCTTTTGGGTATTAAAGCTGACTCCAGCGTTATTACAATCGAGATAATTCAATTTGGGTTAATTTCCCAGTATTTGAAAACTTCAGACTCAAATGTCCAGTCTTAGACTCAAGCGACACCTTTGAAAATATTCTCATTCAATTCCTCTTTCAATTCCCCATCGAATGACACCTCAAGCATCTTTCAATGACTAATACTTCAAAAGTTATAAACTTTTGAATTTAAGTCATAAAAACATGCGGGCCTTCGGTCCGCATGTAATTTTTGCTAGTGATTTTTGTAATTTTTTCATCTATTTTTGCTAGCTAAAAATTATTAAAATAATTATACGGGGCCTTCGGCCCCGTATATTTTTAACATTAAATAGAAGTTTATTGCAACGCGTTCCCAATTTTTATAAAATAATTTTTGAGCGGTTGCCTAAGGCAACGCGTTTTTTGCAACGCGTTCCGTATTAAAAAAATATTTTTTATTTCTTGCGGTTGCCTTTGGCAACGCGTTTTCTGCAACGCGTTCCGAATTTAAAAATAATATTTTAAATTCTCGCGGTTGCCTAAGGCAACGCGTTTTTTGCAACGCGTTCCGTATTAAAAAAAATATTTTTTATTTCTGGCGGTTGCCTTTGGCAACGCGTTTTCTGCAACGCGTTCCGAATTTAAAAATAATATTTTAAATTCTCGCGGTTGCCTAAGGCAACGAGTTTTTTGCAACGCGTTCCGTATTAAAAAAATATTTTTTATTTCTTGCGGTTGCCTTTGGCAACGCGTTTTTTGCAACGCGTTCCGAATTAAAAAAAAACTAATTTTAATTTCTTGCGGTTGCCTTTGGCAACGCGTTTTCTGCAACGCGTTCCGAATTTAAAAATAATATTTTAAATTCTCGCGGTTGCCTAAGGCAACGCGTTTTTTGCAACGCGTTCCGTATTAAAAAAAATATTTTTTATTTCTGGCGGTTGCCTCCGGCAACGCGTTTTCTGCAACGCGTTTCAATTTCCTTTAAAAATAATTTTTAATTCTGGCGGGTTCCTCAGGCAACGCGTTATATGCAACGCGTTCCGAATTTTTAAAAATATTTTTTAATTCTGCGGTTCCCTCCGGCAACGCGTTATCTGCAACGCGTTTCGATTTAAAAAAATAATTTTAAATTTCCGGCGGTTGCCTCCGGCAACGTGTTTATCGCACTGAGTTACGAATCTTAATATTACGTTTAAAAAGTTGTAAAAATTAGAATTTTATAAAAAATTTTCAGTCCCAGACTCAAATTAATAAATGAGACTCAAGTGTCCTTTTCATTAAAAATTTATTTTCTAATATTCCCATTAATTTTTATAATTTTTAAAATTACTTTCAACTGATTTTAACCTTCAGACTCAAATATTCTACCCTCAGACTCAAGTGACCCCTTCAAAAATATTTTCAAAAAATTCGCCTGATTTTTGCACGTCAAATGACACTTCAATCATATTTTTCCGATAACTACTTCAAAAGTTACAAAAAACGCCTCACCGTTGCTTAACTTTCCAGATCGGACGGTCTAGATCGTCAAATTTAAAAAATTTTTCCCAAAATTTTAATTTTTTAAAAAATTCATAACTCGTTGCAAAAAAGTCAAATTAACATAAAACAAAGCTTATTCGATGCAGAATTTAAAGATCTATCTTTCATCTCTTATCACTTTTTTTCTAACTTCAAAACTAAATATGGTTAAGGTCACTTTTATGCAACATTCTCAAAAATGCACTTTTTACTCCATATCTTTTTTTCCGTTAATCCAATCAACTTGAAACCAACTTTTTTCTTAAGAAACCCACAACGCTCTACAACTTTTCTCCCAACCACTTTTTGCTCAGACCCCTCTAAACACCTTAAATCCAAAGTTACCACTTTGACAAAAAAGTTGTCAACAGGCACATCTACCCTTCCCGATGTCAGAACGACTTCAACTCTTTTTCTATCATATTCTCCATGTTGTGGTGCTTCAACCTTGTAACTGACCCAACTTCCTCTGACTTCATCTTCATACTCATTTCCGACCTCAAAGTTTCGAAAAAACACGTTTTTTCGAAATATCTAATTTTTTCGCCCCTTTCCCCCCACTTTTCGGATTTTTCCTGAAAACTACATTAAATTTCCCATCTATAGCAAAAAACCCCACCCCGATACACCCACTCAAAAGCTCTGGGGACTTTTTTTTAGCTGACTGCCTTTTTACTATTATATATAGATAATTAAATCCACAATATAATAATCCATTTTATATTCAAATTCACTCCATTTTTCCAGTTCCAAATCCAATGTTTATTCCAGACGAGCAGAAATTTTCACGTGGAGTGAGTATTCCACCTCCAAACTATCCAAATAAATTTATTCCTCAAAATGGTTATTTATGCGTACATATAAATTGTAAAAATACTGACAATAATCGACAGCAACAAATTGTTTTTAATAATAATCGCTCAAATAATATTTTTATTCTTAAACATAATGAATCAATCGAAATTGAAATACCTGATTATTGCAATAAATCAGAAAATTTTAAATTCGCCGTAACTCATTATGTTCCTATTGGAAATGGACAACATTATTGTTTTGCAAATGGAGAGAATGCAAAGCGAAATAATTTCAACAAATGGGTTTACTTTTTTCGTTATCAATTTAGGTAGTCGGATATTAATTATACGCCACCTCTTGCAAAGGAATAATCTGGCGTTAATGTAAACTACCGTATTTTAATTCCTCCCTCGAATAATTCTGTTGTGTACCGCGCCACTTGTTATGACCCCGCTTACGTAGAGGAGCTAACAAAGATATTTATCGCACACAGAAAATACAATGAAGACGAAGGTTGTAGGAAGAACTAAAACTGGGAGAGCGAACTAACTATTGGCCGGGCTTTTATACTAAACACTTTAAGGGCTGACGCCCATACACAACAAATTCCCCTCTCGAATAATTCCCCCTGCTACGGATGAATTGAAACAATAATCCTCCTCTCCCAAATACCCTACTACACGTTCAAATGTTAAAACTCGAATAATTCATTCCCCCCCCCCCCTTGATTACCCCATGCTATGGATGGGTTAAAAAAATAATTCCCCAGAGGAATTAATTGAGTAAATACGGTAAATTTCCGCGCAATTTTAGACCCTCTTTAGTTAAATGAATTTTGTTTGATTAATCGTAAACTTTTATTTAATAGATGAGTGGTCATTTACCAGCCTATAAATAGGGCTACAATATTATATAAAATAAAAGATTCCATTTTAATGTTTGGAAAAATAATTTTCAGAAATATTACTAAAAATATGTATTTCTTCTTATCTAAATTTCCGCCACTATGTGTAAGTAAGTGTGTGTATAGTAAGTGGGGGTGTATAATTGAAATCCGACTGTTTTAGGAATGCATCTTTGTGTACGGATATGGAAATTAATAATCATAACATTGACTGAATATTTTGTTTAAAATTTTTACTAAATTCATTAATAATGACGGAGCAGTTCAACTGAGTCACGGCTCAACCGAGTCCCGGCCCTATAACTCAAGTACGGGTTGATAATTTTTAGTGTTCTTGGTATCATTGGATAGAGAATCAAAAGCTCTACAACATATCAAAAAATCAGAATTTTTGACCGATTGATAAAAAAGTTATGATATAAAAACTAATTTTTTCAAAAAAATCGGATTTTTCGGCACTTGATCGATCATAACTTTTTTACCAGTCGGTTAGGAATTTTGATTTTTTGGTATATTGTAGCCTATTTAATGCCCTATCCAATGGTACCAAGAGCAAAAAAAAGTGACCATCCCTTCATAGGTTATAGGGTCCGGGACTCAGTTGAGTCGGGACTCAATTGAGGTGTACCGTAATAACGAATAATTAATAATACATATGTAGAAAGGAGCATTTTATATCATTTAATGGCACTACTGAAGAAAAGGGTGCTTTTTATGCGGACTTATTTTGCGGACTTTTTTTTACTTTTAAATGATTCTTTTTTAATGTTTTGGCTGTCTTGCTTGTAGCAAGTTTTGCTTGTAGCAACTAACTGTCAAAGGATTAATTTATATGCCAATTTGAAAAATATGTGTTCACGATTAATTTGAACATTATAAACGTAAAAAATGTTACAATCAATAAAAAATTTTACTTTAACTAAATTTTCAATTATCCGATGATGAATTTCAACAATGGATCACTGATCTTGGAATGCTTCATCGAAAAAGAATATGTGATTGTGGAACAGAGATGCGGGTAATTCCTTGTCCCCCCCCCATTATTTTTATTACCTAAGATTGTACAACATGGTCAGATTTCCTTCTTCCTCTTTTTCCTCTATTTGAGCTTGGCATATTCAAACAAGAGACATTGTTGATAAAGAGAAGATTAATTGAGTTGTTCAATATTTTTAATTGAGGTGTTCGATATTGAGTTCAATTTATTTTTTCAGTTGTTCAAGATTTTTTAAATATAAGTATGAATGTAATGTTTTTAAACAGAAATGCATAATGTTACACACCAAATCATTTTATATAATTCTTTATTTTGTTTAAATTGTTTTCGAAGGCAAAAAAATAATCTTCTCTTTATCAATGTCTCTTGTTCCAGGGCAAATAGAGGAAGGAGAGCAAGAAGAAAATCTGACCTTTATGTACAATATTAGGTAAGAAAAATAATAGGGGGGAAGGCCTTTGACAGTTAGTTGCTACAAGTAAAACTTATAAAGGAAAGGAAAAGTCCGCAAAATAAGTCCGCAGAAAAAGCACCCTTTTCTTCAGTAGTACCCATTTAATAAATAGATTTATGTATTAGTAAATGAAGAGAGCATTCTTAACAAACTTATTTTCAGGCAAATGTTTCTAAAAACTTGGTAGGAAAAATAAATCAACCCGGAGATTATGAGATTAAAATTGACTATTTTTCACATATTAATCCTTTTGGTACTGTAACTGGTTATCAAGCAAATTAAGAAGTTAATTAAAAAATAATTATGTAATGGATTTATAATTTAAAAAATTTTTTATTTAAAATCTTTAATGAAAAATTAACTTGAAAAAAAGAATGAATGAACAATTAAATTAATTGTCTGTCTTTAATAAAGTAGATTTAGATATGTATTATTTGTGTGTGGATTTTTATTGAAATAAAATGGCAAAATATGGCCATAAATTATTGAAATATAATGGCAAAATATTGACAAAATATGCCAAAGGGGTCGCTTTAGTATAGGTCCACCGAGATCGGAACTCATAATATATACCATTCGATTCGTCTCGCCGAGCTGAGTTCAAATATGTAAGAATTTTCTGCGGGACGCGAAAACTCGCAAAGATACAGGCACTTGAAAATCGAAAAACCATAGGGGGGACCAAGCTCGATTTTGGGGTGAAAAATTCGAATATGCAAATTATACCTCATTCGAAAGAGCTCGTCGAGCTGAGTCGAATGACACCAAAGTCAACGAAATCCGACTTGATAGGACCGAGATATAGGCCCCTAAAAACCGAAGATCCAAAGGGGCGATTTTTGGAATAAAAAATTTTTTATACAAATTATAACTCATTCGAAAGAGCTCGACGAGCTGAGTCGAATGACACCAAAATCACCTTGAATGAACGAGATTAGACAAAGTTATGATACAAAAAACAAAATACCTAAACCTATGGAGCGTCGGCGAGGCGCTTGTGCAAAACTCCGCGCTTCGCGCGGAGTTTTGCGGCACGCGCCTCGCGGGGAGTCTACGGGCGCTGGGTCTGGGCTCGTAACATAAACCTATTCCTATCTCCCTTGCTTTGGACGTATTTGGGGCCTCCGTAGCAGCAAAAATCTCCACAGATGCCATAGGTAAGGAGCTAAAACAAACGGTCATAACTTTGTCAAATCAAGTCGGATTTCGTTGACTTTGGTGTCATTCGACTCAACTCGACGAGCTCTTTCGAATGAGGTATAATTTGCATATTCGAATTTTTCACCCCAAAATCGAGCTTGGTCCCCCTATGGTTTTTCGATTTTCAAGTGCCTGTATCTTTGCGAGTTTTCGCGTCCCGCAGAAAATTCTTGCATATTTGAACTCAGCTCGGCGAGACGAATCGAATGGTATATATTATGAGTTCCGATCTCGGTGGACCTATACTAAAGTACAGCCATGCCAAAAATTACTGAAATATTGAAATAAATTTTGGGTTATTAACTGAAAAAAATTAGAATTCAACTAAAAAATTAATCACACGTTTAAAATTGCATATTTGTTTATAGTTCGATGATTTGGGTGTTTTTACTCTCTTGGACATTTTAGGGATATAGTGTAGTGTACCGGTGGTAAAAGTTCGGGACGTGACATATGTCATTCGATTCGTCTCGACGAGCTGAGTCGAACGGTACCACTCCCTACTTTAGGAAATAATTCTGGACCGAGTTATAGGTCCCGAAAAATCGAAAAACCAAAGGGGGGACCAAGCACTTTTTTGGGGTGAAAAATTCGAAAATGCAAATTATACCTCATTCGAAAGAGCTCGTCGAGCTGAGTCGAATGACACCAAAATCAGCTTGATTGAACAAGTTTGAGTCGAGATATAGGGCTCGAAATGGTCAAAAATCATAGGGGGGATTTTAGGGTCAAAAATTCGATTCTACAAATGTTAGCTCATTCGAAAGAGCTCGACGAGCTGAGTCGAATGATATCAAAATCACCGTGATTGGACAAGATTAGACAAAGTTACGACACAAAAAACAAAAAAAACCTAAACCTATGGGGCATCGGCGAGGCGCTTGTGCAAAACCCCGCGCTTCGCGCGGGGTTTTGCACAACCCCGCGTGTGCAAAACCCCGCGCTTCGCGCGGGGTTTTGCGGCACGCGCCTCGCGGGGAGTCTACGGGCGGTGGGTCTGGGCTCGTAACATAAACCTATTCCTATCTCCCTTGCTCTGGACGTATTTGGGGCCTCCATAGCAGCAAAAATCTCCACAGATGACATAGGTAAGGAGCTAAAACAAACGGTCATAACTTTGTCAAATCAAGTCGGATTTTGTTGATTTTGGTGTCATTCGACTCAGCTCGACGAGCTCTTTCGAATGAGGTATAATTTGCATTTTCGAATTTTTCACCCCAAAAAAGTGCTTGGTCCCCCCTTTGGTTTTTCGATTTTTCGGGACCTATAACTCGGTCCAGAATTATTTCCTAAAGTAGGGAGTGGTACCGTTCGACTCAGCTCGTCGAGACGAATCGAATGACATATGTCACGTCTCGAACTTTTACCACCGGTACACTACACTACAGCCCATTTTAGATGGGCGGATGGGACATTTTAGGTTTTACTCAGTGGATCATTTTGAGCAGGGCTGTGCGTCATGGCGTTTGGCGTTTTGCGTTTTGGCGTTAATTTTGGCCGATTTTTGGCGTTTTGCGTTTGGCGTGATTTTCCGATTTTGGCGCGCCAAAACGCCTGCGGCGCTAAAATGAGATGAACAGTGGGTTTTAAGTCTTTATAGTCTCTAAAAATTTTGGCGTTTGGCGTTTGGCGTTTTGGCGTTGATTTTAAAATTTAAAAAATTGGCGTTTGGCGTTTGGCGCGCCACGCGAAAATTTTGGCGCACAGCCCTGATTTTGAGGGTTTTGTTCAATGGGATATTTTAAAAGAGGGGTATATTTGGGCGGGTTTTTGTTCA